GAGAAACAAGCTGAACAAAACAAAAATGTGAGAAACAAAACTACTGCTCCAAAAAAATAGATTGAAATAGACTTATTTGTGATTTATACTGCTATAATTAACAGCACTGCCGAAAATGGTAATAATTAGTTAAAAATGTTTTATAAACATTAAAAAGTCAATCAGTCTTTCTTATCATTTTCACAGCCATAAATGCTATACAGAGCGAACAGTCCAGTTGAACAGAATCTTGTAATTCTTGCCAAGAATATTTCAGCGTCCAGTTAATTTTTACTTTCAAAAGTGTTCATAAGGTTTTCTGATTTTTGATAACCTTATAAACGCGTCACTGTAGCTAAACTAAGTGTTATAAGTTTTGAAAACTAAACATTAGCAATCGGTTTCCGCATTGCGCTGATTAATAACTAACGAAGTATTTTTAGCAAAACACATCCAGGGTGGCACCTTCAAAATTTAGCTTTGCTAACTTAAACTTCTTTTTTTCTCAGAATACAACGGTAAAAGTAGTATTTTTAAACTACAATCTATTAGGATTGTAGTTCATGCTGCTGGCTGGCTAATTTTTTGCCTGATAGTGTGAACCTCCAAATGATAATATACTACTGGAGAAGCTTCTTCAGATCTCGCTCTCTCCCTCCTCCTTGAAAAATATAATGCGTCTTCGTTTTGAACGGCCTCCAAGACTGGTGCGGTCTAATGGTCCACAGTTAGCAAATACAACCACATCTTCATTTTACAGAGCCTCCAGGAACGGTTTGGCGAGTTAATCTGGAGTTACAGATGTGTAATTAAGACAGTCAATTGCCCTGATTTCCGGAGGCTAGTGTTGTACGGCAGTATTAGTGCTCCAGCAGAAGCCTCGAGAATTGTTTCCGAGAGTATCGTTCCAAATTACAATTATTCTCATCCGCTACTATTAATAGATAACACAAAAATTAAATTAAGGCTTTTCTTTTTTTTAATAAAAAATACTAGACTTTTTCTTTTGAAGCGCCATAATTGCGCTTAACAACTGCAGGGATAAACATGTCAGATGGTGTGACAAATTACTGTTGATCATCGTTTTCATTCAATAGCAAAATAGCTCTCCTTTTCAAAGAAATTGAAAACTGCTTACAATGCCAACCAAATGAACTACTTTTGCGGGTCGTCCCACCACAATTTTACGACAGTTATACAAAATTATAAAGATAACTGACTTATCAAATCTGTCCGTAAGGTTACTCTTGGAAGTTGATTCTTAATTCTTTCACTGAAATTTTTTTTGCTTTAAAAAAAACAAAGAAATTTAACAGGTTTTGCCACATTCTACTCTGATACATTAAGCCCTAAGCAAATAAAAAACGATACAACAAACCTGTCAGTTACACTCAGTAACCGTTATCTGAAGAATTAATTTCTACGATCACTTAGACAAGCAGTTATAGATGTTTTGTACTTTTGCTTCCAGAAACAACTGGTGACAATAAGGAACAAAATTTCAGGCTAGTTCTTTTAATGATGAGCATTTGCTGAATAAGGAGACGTTTGAACTCTCGAAAGACTGCAGTGGAAAGTAACAGGGAATCAACACCGATAAGTTTAACACTTCCGTTGGTTTCCTCTTCCCCTCCTTCCCATCCAGTCGTCCCCTGTCCGCTATGAACACAAATTCAGTAATCCTGTCCCTCCAACTGCTTTAGCCTTCTAGCCAACTCTAAGAATTAGCAAAAATTTGTAACTAAACAACCCGCACTATAGAATTTTCTGCTTAGACAATTTCGTCTCTCTACTTACCGCTTCTCTTACTCCGCTGCCCTGTGCAAATGTGGAAACTCTTCAGTCCAATATTCACTGTCGCTTATTGCAATTTTGGCCACGCATTCATTAACCTTCTACTACCACTTTCTTTTATAGCAAAAGGCGAGGAATGGAAGAATGCGATTACCCGCCTGCAGGAAGCTTCAAGCCCAGTATCCGACTAAGTCAGCTTGTTAGAGCACTAGAATTGATGGGACTCATATTTAGTCTAATTCACAAGCAGTCTAATTCACAGAAATTTTAACACTAGCTAGAAAAGCGACAAATTTACAAATAACAAAAGAACGACTAACAAAAAACCCATGAACTTCAGACATTATTGGCTGCTAGCGTAATAGTACCATATAAAAACTTACTAAAGTACTGCGCGAGCTAAAACATTGTATTTATAGAGTAATTATATATATATAGCCCTATAAATTATTTTATTTATATATACATAGGCGTCGTCATCGCTAATCTGTGTGAAAATCCCTTGCAGACAAAGGAAGCTTCTGAAAGAACTCCAGTAGTTTCGGTCCAATGCCACTGTGTTACACAAAGAAAGCAGGAGCTTATCCAACTGACCCCTGTAAAGGTGTGCTAAACTTTTATTTCAGTTATTTACAAGGTGTTACAAATGCTATTTTGTTTACACATGTTTAATCCCTCTTTACATTCTAACCTCTGCTTTCCAGTCCATTATCTGTCGAGATATTAGCAGAAATGTGACCAGGGTTTTTATTTTTAATGGATACCTTTCAACATATTCAGCGCTATAATTTTGTTCATATTCATAGAAATCTATTGATTTTTTTTTTATTTACTATCAGCACATATAGTAGATAAAAAATATGGAAAAAAAATAAGGGTTGTCCAGCAGTTACTGAAAAAAAAAAGTTCTGAGTGAAAAAGTCAAGAAATGCAATTCTCTATCAAACGAAAAAAATTAAAAAATTATGACAAAAAAAATAATCATTTTTAAAAAAAAGTAAGAGAGAGAGAACCACCGTTTACTATTTTTTATATCCTCAATACAAAAATAGCCCATTCCTTCACTGAAATATAGGCAAACGTGAAGGTACCTCATGAATATATAGGATACTCCATCGCTACTTTTTTTCCGTATGTTGGGAGACGGTAGGAGAATACCGTAATGTCTCTTGTCAAATGCTGAGAAAAACGCCGGCTTAAGTCTGAACTAAGGCGTTTTTAATTGGCTTATTCTAGGAACTCTGAGTCTACTTTAGCATCATTCTGCTCGTCATACTCGTGGCTACGTAGTGTTTGCTGAATTTTACTGAAATCTAGTGCCTTACTTAAATTATTTGCTGAAATGCGATTTAAAGGCTAATTTCTTTCCTTAATTTGTACCTGTTTTTGTGTAGTACAGAAGAATGCAAAAAATTCAAAAAGCAGCACATAGCCACAACTGTGGCAAGCATAATAATAATAATAACAATAAGAATAATAATAACAATAATAATAAATTCTTTACAAACAGTTGATCAAAATGAAACTTTGAGTGAAAAAAATTTAGTTACTCGCGTGAAAAATCACCCTACCTGCGTTTACAAATCGCAAGTTTGCAAAAAAAAAAGCTCGGCAAGCCACAGTATAACAATTCACTTTAAAAAAACACTTTAAGGAATCTATATGCAAAAAACCAAAAAAAATCCTGTGTTTCTAACAACCTAAATTTCGAATAAAAAGCAATAGAAAAATAGTAATTTAAGAATCGGTGCCAACGTCACATTTTAGCAAATATCTCGACGGTGAGGTTACAGATTAGCATAGCAATAACAAACCGATAGCCACAGTTCTGAAAAATGGAATGACGTCAAAAAATCCGCAGACCATCAAAAACAAACCAGGTAAAAAATGCCCGCTTTGAACGTTGGCCATCACATTTAATAAGTTGCCAGCCAACCGTACTACTGTATCCTTCGTCCTGTCGCGAAAAAACTTTGACACAAATTGGAAATAACGACGCCTATATATGTATATATATAACTATTTTAAAAAACCCTGAAACAATACAATTCGGAATGAACATACATCACCATCATCAATCACAGATGTTTAACAAAAACTTAAGGTGAATGTGACAGAGACAACCACCAAAAATAGATAAATAGATAACCAAAACCAACTGCAAAAAAGGAGATTAAACTTTGGTATAACACTGAGACTTGCTAAATATTATGATCCTAAAAAGTCGCCCAAAGTACACCCCCCAATCAACCATTTAGTTTAGGAAGTTTAATTCGGGTCCAATTTATTTCAAAGCCGGCTCAACTTTCACGCTTTTCATGAAGAATTCCAAGACAAAGACGATTCCGACAAGCAATAAAAAAAAATTATTCGACCGTTTCCGACACATTATAACTACGCCTTTTCTAGAAGTGTAAAGTAAACACTATTGTCACTAGCAAATCGGGAAGGACCTAGTGATAAAAAAAATCTGAGTGAAAAACATAATAAATAAATAGCGCTTAAGTTACATTCCTCACCCTTCTCCTTGCAAAAAAAAAAGAAACGGTTTAAAAAATATGGCTGAATCTTCAGACATACTGGACTCACAAAAGCTTAATAAATATAAACGAAAACATCTCAAAAATACAAGTTAACAGTTGTGACAAGAATTTTGAAGAATCTAGCAACCATAGTGAAATGAAACTAACCTTACGCTATTTACAACCCTTAACTAACCACAAAAAGCAACAATACCTAAAAAGTAATGTGGAAATCCTCTTGTGGAAGCCTCCGAGCAACGAGAGCAGCTACGTTTCCAGTTATGACAAACACGTTTTAAAGAAATTACATTGAGCAAAGAAACAATTAAACTCCGCTTGGCATATAAATATAAGACTCGGTTTTCAATTTGCAAGTAGGGTCCGAAAAAGCTCAAAAATATGTCCTTGCGGAAAATGTTACAGTGAGTAAGAAAATCAAGCATTAAAAATTATAATTATAAATGATTCGATACACCACTCAATGACAAAGTCGAGTGAAAAGTTCAATTACCCATCTATTAATGTTAAGCTTGACTCACCTGTAATAAGCAAAATCTTATACCCGCGAAGGAATATTGAAAACTTGCACCTTTACGTCAGAAGAATTTAAAGACTTAAAGTGAGCATTTGGCACTACAAAGAGCACTTATAGACGAAATTAGTAAATGAAGAAGACAAGGTGTGCAGCAAGCATAATGTTTTTAATCAAGTAGTGGCAAACAAAGATTCACTTATTGTCTCCTCCTTCCAGTCAGCACAACAAGGCATGGACTGCAAACTCTTGATATAATACAGATATTCTTGACTGGCAAGCCTGAAAAACGCTGAACAGTGAAACAACAATTTCTTGTGGTTCGATTTTCACCAAAAAAACTAAACAAAAAGAACCAAAAGTTTCAAGAATAAAT